AGGAATTGTAGTCTAACATACCTTGTTATTATATTTGATGGTTATTTTACTGGTGGAAATAATGGGCTGAAAAGGTTTTGAAAATTTCTCTCTGTAAAGATTTGGCTGGTGAGATGAACAATACGTCACAAAAGACGGGAAACCATAATACAAATAAAAACGATGGTTAATGGTAGAGTGGTACACAATGATTCAGCGACGTCTATACGTTGATCGTGGTGAACGAAACCTAGGTGAGGACGCGTTCAATAAAAAGAGGGAGTCGTAGAAATAGATTGTGTCCTTATGTGCTAAACCTTCTTGTTACGCCTAGGTGGTGGAGGTGTATTAGAATGTGTCTAAATTTTGCGACACATTTTGCGAATGGGTAAAAAAAAAGTTTTTTTTTGGGGGGGGGGGGGCGGAATTGTTTTAAATCGGTAAAAAGAGCGTGACGTCATTAATGGATCGCCAGTGATTAAATTTTCTACAGGTCCAGGAGTCCGGGCCAATAATTTGGAGCGTATGGCTTTGCTTATCAAGATCACATCCAGACATCTCTATTTCTTTGTGATCCGCCGTGCGTCTGTTAATATTCTGGCTCTGGCTTTTTCGATAAGCAGGATATGTGGTTGAGATGATATTAATATTAGTAATTTTTTTTTTTCATTTCACCAGAGATGTTGAAAATAAAGAATTTTTTTTACCTATGCAAACAGTGGCATAGGTTGGGTGAGTGGCGCCCTGTGCGGGGGATAAGCGTCACCCCCCCCCCCCAACCCTTTTTTTTCCCTTTCCAACAAGAAAACCAAACTATCCCATAGTTCGCAGGAAATTTCCACACCCCATTATAAGGAAACAGGACTTAGTGCATGCCGGATGTAAGTCCACCACCGCACCCCTTGACGATGCCCCAGGTCCATCATTATACACCACACGCGTAGTTGTGTGACTAAATATAAGGGCGTCGTCCACGGTAACCACAAGGCGTGTGACGACGTGGCCAATCACAAGCCGAGCAGCGCGGCAAGGCGAACAGTGCTCTATGACGCCCAACCCAGACAGTGAACTCAAGCTGGGAACTCTTACCCACAAACAACCGGCAAGCACTGTTGTCAGATGCGTTCTTGACCTGATACGCGCGACCAAACATCAAATTTTTCCGGCTACCGGAAATTTGATAGAAATAAATTTTGTCGACGGTAAATATATTTGATCGAACGGAAGTTTGGTCGAAACGTTTTTTCAGTGCACACGCTAAAATTTTCGTCAAATTTCTTTTTGAACGCACTATATTATATTATAGTAAGACAAAATAATGCGTTCAAAAAGAAATTTGAAGCCCAATTTAAACGTAAAAACTGAAGAAAAAAAAAGAAAAGATTCGACCAAATTTCCGTTCGATCAAATTACCGTCGATCAATTTACGTCGACGAAATTTATTTCGATCAAATTTCCGGATATGATTTTGTTTGTTTGTTCAAGTAACTTGGAAAATCCGGCGAAATCGGTCCCGCTTCGCCACACGCGTACGTTCTACGCTAAGAAAAAGAATCCCTCTTCATATAAACATAAATTTAAATTATACTTACTCTCGGTTTAATAAATTAAGTGTACAACATACCAATAAAACTAAATCAGCATTATGTTTCATTTGATTCGTTTTAATGGTATTTAACATATGTTTCAATAATAAAAATATTAAAATTAAGTCTTATGGGAATTATTAGTATTATGATTAATAAGTCATTAGAACAGCTGTCTCATATAGCGCGCTACGGAAGCTTAAGGCTGGGCCTACCGCGCTGCACATACAAAATTTTAGCAAAAATAATCATGACATTTAAAAAAAGAAATACATTTATTTAAGTGAAAACAACAGCTGTATAGAAAAAGCAACAAAAACATATAGTCACTCCGCCCACGCATGAAATATTGACTTGTCAAGCCATGGGCGGCACCCAGCAGCATCGTTCACCGGACAGAGGGGGGGGTGGGTGAATTTAAGGAGAGAAAAATGTATATGTTAAGTGATTGCCATCAACTCCAATTAATTATCAGTCATTATATATTGATGACAAGGGAAAAAAAAGGATATATCATGAAATAAATCAGTTTTTGAGACTTAATGAAACCGAAGTTGTGTTGTTGTTGTTTTGTTTTTTTTTTTGGGGGGGGGGGTGGGGGGTTGGGGGGGGTGGGGTGATGACAATCAAATAGTTATAAAAATATTTATTAAATTTCAAAGGGGGGGGGGGGGGGGGGGGGGGGGGGTGGGGTGATGACAATCAAATAGTTATAAAAATATTTATTAAATTTCAAATATAAAATCTATTTATAAGGTGGCTTTATCATTTCGTCAAGGCACTAGGGGATCGATTGGGAACAATGATACGCCAACCAATGTTTATAGATCAAAATATAATCAACACACAACACGCTAGTCTCTTGTAATGAAAAACTTTAGCTGTCTTTAATATCATCATAAATATTTACTTTCCAGACTATCACAGCGCAACTCACTACTCAAGAAACAAATACAATTTTCTGTTTTAAAAGGTTCTGCTTTAAGGGTAACTCAATCAAATGGTCTGCACACACTTATACCAAGAGCAAAGATTTCGTCCACTGATGCATTACATGACTTCACACAGCCGTGCCACGAACGAACGTTAAAGAAATATTCTAACCAGCAAGAAGCACCACGTGCACCAAAATGCAAGAAATTCGCACCGATACTACCTCGACGGAAATCTTAGGAACACTATTGTATGGACAGAATAAAGGATATATGACCACACTCTCCACTACAAAAGTTTCATGACATCAGTTAGTGTAAACACACTTGACCGATTTAAAAATACCCTGTATCTTTTCACGAAACATATTAATTGCCCATAGACTACAACCATACGATGAACAAATACTAGGTGACAACAAATGTGGATTCAGACAAAACCAGATAAACCGCTGACAAGATTTTCACCATCAAAAGCATTGGGGAAATGTTACTATCAAAGTACATCTATGGGGACTATAAAATGGCCTATGGCCTATGATAATATCGAAAGAAAATGTCTATATGAGACTCTGCAGAAGTTTTGCTTACCCAAAAAACTGAAAAGATTGATACATATAAATTTAAACTACTCAAAACAAAAATAATCAAGTTTCAGGGAGAATATCCTTGGGTATTAAATATTGGAGATTAAACGAGGCCTAAGACAAGGAGACTCATGAGAGAGTTTTAAGAAACATATTATATTTGAAACCCGAGGAGCTGTAGCTGGATACTTTCTGTGGGACACCAAAGACCTGCAGCCAAAAAATTGGCATTGTCTACAATCAACCCCTTCAGTATCTTGTATATGCTGATGGCATATTAGGGAAAAATAATACAGACGTATCAAAAGTTTTTATTGAATTAGAAGACGCATCACTACGCGCAGGCCTGGAAGATAACAACAACAAAAAATATATGTATATGATAAGAGAAGAATAGACAGATGAAGCCATTAAAATAAGGATCCAGATATTTGAAAAAGTGCATGAATTCAAATACTTAATATCTTCATGAAATGAATTACTAACAAAATAAAACAAATAAGATCTGGCTGAAACAAGGCACTTTCCGAAATCAGAAAATTCTAAAAACTAACAACATTACCGGGAAAAAAACGAAAACTATGTGTAAAACTGTGATAAGACCAGTTGTAAAATATGCAAGTAAAACTTTGATCATAACATAAACGGCAGAAAACCTATTGAACCCATGGGAGAGAAAAGTTCTCCTTAAAATATACGGACCAACAAAGGATAAATATAGATGGAGCACACCAACCAACCAGGAATCGTACAGTCTATATCAGGATCTCACGCTGGTAGCTAGAATAAAAAAAGGAAAGGCCTTACTGGGCTGGAGACTTGGAAAGAAGGCCAAAATGAGAGAAGAGCCAAGAGGATGCACCATCAAAACCCAGAGGAAAATGCCTCAAAGACAGACTGAAGCTTAGATGGATGGATGAGGTGGAAAAAAGATCTACAGCAACGGGAATCTAAGCATGGAAAATAAAATCATTAGTTGTGTCTGAGTGAAAGGAAGTAGTGAGTCAGGTCAAAGACCTACATGGGCAGTAGTGCCACAGGGATGAATGAATGGTCAGTGAATGGAAGTTGTGAGTCAGACCAAAGACCTACATGGGCTGTAGTGCCACAGGGATGGATGAATGGTCTGAGTGAAAGGAAGTAGTGAGTCAGGTCAAAGACCTACATGGGCAGTAGTGCCACAGGGATGAATGAATGGTCAGTGAATGGAAGTTGTGAGTCAGACCAAAGACCTACATGGGCTGTAGTGCCACAGGGATGGATGAATGGTCTGAGTGAAAGGAAGTAGTGAGTCAGGTCAAAGACCTACATGGGCAGTAGTGCCACAGGGATGAATGAATGGTCAGTGAATGGAAGTTGTGAGTCAGACCAAAGACCTACATGGGCTGTAGTGCCACAGGGATGGATGAATGGTCTGAGTGAAAGGAAGTAGTGAGTCAGGTCAAAGACCTACATGGGCAGTAGTGCCACAGGGATGAATGAATGGTCAGTGAATGGAAGTTGTGAGTCAGACCAAAGACCTACATGGGCTGTAGTGCCACAGGGATGGATGAATGGTCTGAGTGAAAGGAAGTAGTGAGTCAGGCCTAAGACCTACATGGGCTGTAGTGCCATAGGGATGGAAATACATTAATATGATCGTTAAAAAAATTAACAACTAGATTCAGTCAATAGGATTTATCTGGACTAAGCATAGTACCGGTATAGCTAAGCTGGAAATAGGGACACATGCGACACATTATAATTATATACCGGTAGACAACTAAATATGACCGTAACACTCTATTAACTTATATATACTTTCGTTAAAAAAATTAGACAGGGACAAAGCTTGAATTTTGGCGCCCATTCCCACAAAAAATATAAATTAATACATATATTTGGAAAGAAAAAGATTACCCCCCCCCCCCCCCCCCGGAGGGTGCCTCCTCTACCCTCCTTACATTCAATGTAAGTGACATTGACATATTCAGTACTCATTACATTTCATGAATTGAAACTACAGACCACAAGAAAATTATTAATGTAACAATATAACAAAATACCGCAATTCAACAATATAACACAACGTAACACAATATACACATTAAACATTGAAAAACGAATTATGCGTTTGGCCATACACTCAAATTTGTAGCAACATGCTTTTCAAAACAACAAAACAGTGCTATTGATTATTTCAATATACGTGAATCTTTGTAAAAAAATAAGTGAACTTTTATTGATTCTCAGCAAAGTTAAACGCAGTACCACCAAGAACAATTAAGTGAATTCTGACACCGGAGTTTGTTTTATTCTTTCAACTATCGGAATAGCAGTACTTGTCTTTTAGACATCAGAATAGCAGTACTTGTCTTTTAGACATCAGAATAGCAGTACATTATCAGCGGCGTCACGAATGACCTGATGACCATTAACCAAACCACGAAGTCATTAATGGCCGTATAAGCAATCCTGCTTCCCAACGAGATTCTGTTCAGGTTCAGAGTGTAGCCGAGCTGATAGATGGCCTGTGGAACAACAAGGAAAAAGAAAACTATGGCAATGGCAAGGAGTCTGGACTTTTCACGGTGAAATTTTGACAATGCCATCCCAGCATCGTTCTGTAGGTACACGCCCTGGTTGGGTTGTACCACCGTGTAGGGTTGCTGTGCGACATTGGGTTGCTGTGTGAAATATGGTTGCTGCGCAGCATAGGGCTGCTGTGCGACCTGGGGTTGCTGCGTGGCATACGGCTGATGGGCTTGTGGGTTGTTCATCTGTTGAGGGTACTGCTGAAGTGGATGCTGTCCGGGAATAGGTTGCTGTGGATACTGGTTGCCTGGATGGTACCCATCTGTCGGGGGCCCTGTAAATCCATTACCCGATTGTAGCTGAGAATTCGAGTGACTCGTCGTTATCATAACCATCGGTGCGGATGTAGCCGTTGTCTGTTGGTACTGAGCTGGAGGAAACGCACGACAATTGACCACAATACACATGGCCACAGCAGCACACGCGGGCAGAATAACAGAGATGACCACCGCTGCCTTTGCCTGATCTAAGGTCTGCACAGACGAACACATTGTCATGTCAATGTTAGCCAGACAGAGCGGTAAGACGAAGATGAGACCCAGTAACCAGGGGATGCCACTGAGTACGATTGAAACAATAAACTTGGCTGTTTTGCTGGCGGTCATGTCTCGGATCTTGTTGCGAAATAAAAGTTCAATTCCCAGAACGACGACCCCCAGGCCGTAGACGAAATGAATGAGAAATCTCATGTACGTGTCTGACGTCATCGCCAGACTACACGTTTTTATATCGGTGAGGTAGTCTCCAAACAAAGTCTTAGCCACCACGATCAGCGGAAAGAGAGCGAAGAGTATGTCCCCTATGGCTAGGGAGAGAATGATCTGATTCTTCGGCCTCGTGTAGAAATCAAACTTCCGGGTATTTTTCAATACGAGCAGGGCGTTGGAGAGTAAGATCAGAAGGAGGAAAATGATGCACAGGGCTTTAGTTGTCGCTGCGTAGGCGGCATCATCAAAGTAAGAGCCTCCATGCCCACTAAAAAAGTCCCTCAGGTAGTCCAACGCTTGATCGCTCCCTTCCATGATCAGGTTACAGGTTACAAAGTCTTGCTAGAATTAAAACCTGACAAAATCGAAAAAAAGAAAAATTGATTAAAGTGAGATTGGGGAAAAAAAATTTAAAAAGAATTTATGATCTTTGACTCAAATAAGTACTCAGTATTCTTTAAATACCTCCGTCAAAGTATACAACTATTTAGCGTATGAAGCACATGTGTACATGCTTCAATAGCATTACGTTTTAGTTGAATCACGTACACATCCTTGTACTTTTGAATTTCGTCAAGAACATTAGAACTGCGCACAGAAACGTCATAGATTTAATCTTGTGCACAGAAACGTCATAGATTTAATCTTGTGCACAGAAACGTCATAGATTTAATCTTGTGCACAGAAACGTCATAGATTTAATCTTGTGCACAGAAACGTCATAGATTTAATCTTGTGCACAGAAACGTCATAGATTTAATCTTGTGCACAGAAACGTCATAGATTTAATCTTGTGCACAGAAACGTCATAGATTTAATCTTGTGCACAGAAACGTCATAGATTTAATCTTGTGCACAGAAACGTCATAGATTTAATCTTGTGCACAGAAACGTCATAGATTTAATCTTGTGCACAGAAACGTCATAGATTTAATCTTGTGCACAGAAACGTCATAGATTTAATCTTGTGCACAGAAACGTCATAGATTTAATCTTGTGCACAGAAACGTCATAGATTTAATCTTGTGCACAGAAAAGTCATAGATTTAATCTTGTGCACAGAAACGTCATAGATTTAATCTTGTGCACAGAAACGTCATAGATTTAATCTTGTGCACAGAAACGTCATAGATTTAATCTTGTGCACAGAAACGTCACATATTTAATCTTGTGCACAGAAGAAACGTCATAGATTTAATCTTGTGCACAGAAAAGTCATAGATTTAATCTTGGGCACAGAAACGTCATAGATTTAATCTTGTTCACAGAAAAGTCATAGATTTAATCTTGTGCACAGAAAAGTCATAGATTTAATCTTGTGCACAGAAAAGTCATAGATTTAATCTTGTGCACAGAAAAGTCATAGATTTAATCTTGTACGCAGAGTAAAACGATTTAATATTGTATGCAGAAATAAATAGATTTATTCTTATACGCAGACTTATAATAGATTTATTCTTGTACGCAGACATATAGCAGATTTAATCTTGTACACAGACTTATAACAGATTTAATCTTATAGATATTAAGATCATGGCATCATCTTGTATACATTAACCTCAGTAATTTTGTCTGGAACGATACTATTCACAAAAAATGCCACAATGGTGTACACAAAAATGCCATAATGGTGTACACAAAATGCCATAGCCTTACAAAAAATGTCATACATTAAGTATATGGATAACATATCAGTGCTATAGACCAAAAGTTGAAAGCCTCAAAGAAAAGGAAATAATTTTAAAAATTGAAACTAATGTTTTTTTGTTCTTGACTTCAATGGACTTATTTGAATTGAATTGATTCGCTGTGTTCAATGGTTTGGATAAATAATGCTGTTATAGTTTTACATTATCCATAGTTCAGTCGTCTTTCGAACTCAGTGGATTCCAAGGCAGCTTGTTGCTCGGCACAATTCAAAGCTGTAACCAGCTTTGCATTGGATACAATTTTCCTTCAATTAAAAGTCAGTATTGATTTAACGAAACACATCCTGTTTATCCACACAAAAAAAACTACAAAAAAAACTACAAAAAACCCAATAAAATACCATTTAGTATCCACTGCAATCGCTGCAGAAAAAAAAAAGTTGCTACGTAATAAGTAAACCTTGCAGAACATCGAAAAACATTATATATATATATAGATAATTCTTTATAATTTAATGTTTCAACAGAGTACAGGCAGATTAGCTCGATGTTGTGGCATATATTAAAGACAATGAGAGCCGTAAATACATTTATGAGATGAAAAAATCCGTGGCAAATTAAGAATATTCACTCAAGAATCATATATGCGTGACAAAAATATTCGCTTACGAATCTTCCTTCCGTGACAACAATATTCACCTATGAGTCGTCCGGCTGTGACTAGAATATTCACCTATGAGTCGTCCGCCTGTAACAAGAATGTTAACCTATGAGTCGTCCGCCTGTAACAAGAATGTTAACCTATGAGTCGTCCGCCTGTAACAAGAATGTTAACCTATGAGTCGTCCGGCTGTGACAAGAATGTTAACCTATGAGTCGTCTGCCTGTAACAAGAATGTTAACCTATGAGTCGTCCGGCTGTAACAAGAATGTTAACCTATGAGTCGTCCGCCTGTAACAAGAATGTTAACCTATGAGTCGTCCGCCTGTAACAAGAATGTTAACCTATGAGTCGTCCGCCTGTAACAAGAATGTTAACCTATGAGTCGTCCGGCTGTGACAGGAAACATTACTTGAAACGCTATCAGAGCAACATCGCGAAGGACAAGCGCCTGCAATACTTATATGGACGATCCTCAGTTGCGACACGTCGTTACCTGTCTATTTTTAGCTTCCTTATACGTACAGTTGATAGTGGTCCGACCAGATCGCGTTCCGACCTGGCCTCATTCCAGGGTTAAATTTAATTTCGCCATATGACTAAAACGATTGCAAAATTTCAGGTAAAAAGCTTTTGGAATTGTTCTCCCTGGATTCGCATGGCGTGATGCAAATACTTTGGTCTCCCTTTGATCAAAGGCAGCCAATCCCTTAACTTAAGTAAACTTATGGTCACAAAATATGTCGTAGGCTGCTAGGAAGAAAGGTATTTTGTGAAACCTCCACCATCAACCCACCCCTTCCAAGAAAATTTGTTTTTTTAATTTTTAAGGAAAAAAACCAAACAAAACATACAAGAAAGCCAGACATCAAACCTAAAAAAAAGAGAGATATTTTCCTTTCTGTTAACAGTAACTTAAACTGAGGGTCCAAAAATAGTTTGCTTAGATCTGATTTGAAGATTGACCTTATCGCCATCAATTCCTTCGGACACCATCATCAGACTGGCAGAACTCACACTCACTCTCAACTCTCTTGAGCTCAATGGTCGGTTTCCTTGATCAAAATTTATATGGGTCCATGTGAACCAATTTGAACCCTAATTGTATCTGCCCTTTTATAGGTCACTTTGAATACATGTTAGAGAAGGCATTTTAAGGTCATGTCCCAGAATTTTACAAAATATACATTGATGACGTAATTGGCATCATTACATGGAAATATATAAACTTTATATTTACTTATTTGCTACCTCACTCTTCTATAACTTTAATTTCAAAAATCTCTGTCAAATGTGTAAACTTTCTGGACATTCCCCTTATCTTAAAATACACAAAATCTACCACAAACCAACTGAAGACAGCTAATTATTGTTCTTATCCACAGATCATGCAACGACTCCATCTCTTTCCCCCAAGTTCTTAGACTACCGGTATGCCACCTCTGCCAGTCAGATATAGATTATTTAGAATGGAAAATGAAATGATGGACTTCTTTCGCCTTAGATATGACATTGAGAACGCCCTTGTTGTGGCACTTACGCGGGACGCACCATAACTTTTTTAAAATTGAGGGTCTAAGAAAACTATCGACCCATTAGTTCTAAATATCGACTTCGCTGCTCCGCCGACTTCATCTCTACAAGGTTTTTACAGGCCGGCAAACTCAGATCTGTTTTAATCCTGACCCAATCAATGTCTAATCAGATGATTTAAATACACAGGTAATAACATGACTGATAACCATACTATAACATGGATTAAATACACACGCTTACCTGTGACCTCTTGGGGTTATGGAAACTAAACACCAATCAGATTGCTATACTTACATTGACACACACAAATTACGATTTAAAAGCTTTTTTTCTCTTGAAGACTTACGCAGAAGTATTTATTGTACAGACACGGTCGCTCACACACTCAGGTATTGTGTGCGGTTGCTATTAGCTCACCCACACTGGATGTGCTACAACATTTTCTCAGGCTCGTGTAAATGACACCAGCTACACGCTTGCATGTCACGTCTGACTGGATTTGTCACGGGAGGTCTGGCGGGTCGCTGTGACGTCACAGTCCCCACCTGGTTACGGCAGTAACGATCGATCTCCATTTCGTCCAGTTACTTGTCGTCTGGTCCGAAGTGAGCAAACGGTGGTTTGAGTACGAAATCAATAGTTGCACTAATCTCTGGTGCACACAGGATTATATAAAACACGCCTGGAATACCTGGGAATGTACTAAACACACCTAGGTCACCTGGGAAATAGATGAAAGAAACCTGGGATACCTGGGAATATATGAAAGACACCTGGGATACCTGAGAATATATGGAAAACCCCTGGGTTACCAGGGAATACATGGAACACCCATAGGTTACCTGGGAATATATGAAAGACACCTGGGATACCTGGAAATATATGAAACACACCTGGGAATATATGAAACATGCCTGGGTTAACATGAATTATATGAGAGACACCTGGGATACCTGGGAATATATGAAAAACACCTGGGCATATAAGAAACAGACCTGGCATACCTGTGAAATCAAGTTTTATAAAGGTAATCGTAGTAGAGTTTTTGATTTTGCACTAAATGAAACATTGAATGAATGAGAAGAATCAGGAAAAGCTGATCTCAAAAGTTTCAGGAAATATTAACTTTGTATACATCATTGCGCTCAAATTGCGTCTCTAAATCAATGTTTCACAAACACAAGTTTTAAGAGATCACTTGCCCTGTGTAACATCACCCCATCCCACTTTTGAGATTTAAACGTATTTCTCATTAAGACTTAAAGTCTAATGACGAATTTTCACCCCCTCCCCCCACCCCCGTTTTGTTCCACATTGTAGGACGAGGTGGGGGCGTACACACCAGATTTTCACACAATGCTCCGGATTTTGGCGCTGACGGAATTTCCTACATTCTTTACCTTTGTACACCAGAGGTCCTCATAATACAGTTTCCATTCTCCGACTAAGGAATAAGGTTTCAGCTAAATCAGCGCCTCTCAAACCCTTTTCGCCACCCCCGACCACCTCAC